GGTTTCTTTATGAAAAACATACATTTTATGCGCAATTCAAAGATCTGTTATTATTACTGTAATATATAGTTTGCATTAAAATATGATTGGATAGAAAATGTCGGCATGTGAACGAACGAGAATAAAAGAAATAGAATATTTTTCCATTAGTCGACAATTCGACTTGTTGTTATACTCCTTTTTTTTTTCTTGCTTTTTCTTTATGTGAAAGTATGTGTAATGCTTGCACGCACTTATAATTGCCTCGTTCTTTCGCTTTCCACTTGATAGCAAAATGTGCTATAGTGCATGGGCATGATTCTCGATAAGAAACGTAAGCATCTCTGTCGTTCTCTCCTCTTTCTTGTTTCGAGATAAGGCTTCGTTCTTTCTCTCATGCACAATGCTCTTGAGAGGAGAGAACAGTTGTTGGGGTGGTGATGATGATGATGCTTGTAAGAGCAACCATATCGGTTGAAGCATAATAAAAACAACCTTGTCGACGTTTGTGTCGTTCTTGTCTATGCTTTACGAGAAATATACTAAATGTAGTGAAAAAGTAAAGTGGACTGATTCAAGTGTGCGTATGGCATATGCATTGGTATATCACATAAATCGCACCATTTTACTTTTTTTCTCTCTCTCTCTCTCATTCTTCTTATCTTCCTATTAAAAAACAACGTCGATGGACTAGCATATGACAGCTTTGAGTATTCATTCTCTATCCTTTTAGAATTCGATAGGATTACTTGCTCATTTGGCATCTCGGATTTCGCCGCTGTTATCATTGCTTTACGAATGTCATCGGATAGGCAAAGCGTGCGACATATACATATACTCTAATGTCGATTGTTTGCGCAACGATTTAACAGGATTAATTTATCGCAAGCTTTCATCAACGGTTACTCATAGGAATAAAAATGAACAAAAGAAGAAAAAAAAAATTTTTGTTTTTTAAAATTAGTCAAAATGAAGAAAAAGAAAAGGAAAAATCGTTATTTTTATTTCGTTGGAATTTTCAATTGATAAATTACGTTGAAGATAAATATCATTTAAAAATTGAAGAATCTATGAATCATCATTATAATTGAATCATCTTAAAAAAATTGATAAAGATTTTTTTTAGTTAATGAAAGGATTTTGACTTTGGATGGTTGTAGAAAATCTATTTTATATTCAATATGAAAAATAGAAATTCAGTCTCAAAAAAAAAATATATATATTCTTCTAAGAGATCTGTATCGCCTGAATGCTTCTAAATGTATTTCATTATGATTTTAAAAATGAATAGAAAGAAAAACGTCATATGTTAAATCGAAGAAAATAGATAACTGCAAAATCAATGTTAAAGTTTACTTCATTTCTTTCAACTAGAAATATTTTCTTCATAGTGCTCTAAAAACCTTTCAGCCATAAACAATGTATATTATGCAATGAAGCATATAAGGTATATTCAAGATTGAATAAATAGAAGGTGCGAGTATGAAAATTTTAAAACATTTTTTCATTTTCTAATGTTATCTTGAAATACTGACACTCGACATTTTGACTTTTATTCTTTCCCATAAATACAAATTTTATTATGACAGATTTATTTTTACATTTTATGTACATATTCTTAAATCATTTCTGATGAAAATTTGTTTGCATTTTTGAATAAAATTTTTATGAATAAATATTTTATCAAAGTGAGATTTTAAAATTTAGAATTAAAATTATACAAATACATTTCTTTTTCGATCTATATATATTATTTAAAAGCTAAATCACGGTTGCATAAAATAGAATATGGATGAGATAAACTCAACATCATGAAAATCTTTTAATTATAAGCTCCTATCAATAGATTATAAGCATGAATGAACTTATACTGAAGTGTAGTGCTTTTGTTCTGTCTACTAAATCATATTGAAATAAATCTGAATCAAGTATATTCGATGCATTAACTAAGAGTTATTAAGTTGATAACAGAAAATGCAGATTGAAAGTCATCTATTGAAGACAAGACAGAAAAAGCCATATCTGAGATATGTATTAATCACAACATACTATTTTCACATTGTTTTTTTGTTCAATTATAGTCTTTTCAATATTAATGAGTCAGCAGCAGTTGCATTTTGATGATAAACAAAATTTCTCAATAACTACTGTACGTATAATATTGAACGAGGCACTGGATGATCAGTCGAATATTGACATCGAAGACTTTCGATCAACTTGAAGAATGATATTCATAAGCAAGAAGTGAATCGAAATTGAATAGAGCTATTAATAATCTATTTTACTGTCATTCAATAGAATTCATCATACTTATTCCAGCACAATCCCATATATAATTTCATCTTGATTGATACTTTCTACAATAATATCAACGCCAATTATATGTTCGCCTGAAAAAAACTCTCACTGCTTGTGGACTCTAAATAATTAGTTTTGAATATTTTCTTTTAAATCCTAACAATTATTTGCTCTAATAACATTTTCAAGTGAACTGGAAAAAAAAGAATTGTTTCAACAAAATTCATGCGATATATTCCATTCGTAGTAATATCTATAGAATGATTGAAAATGTAAACATTGCGGTCAAAGTTCTAAGTACAGGTCAAGTTACATATGATGGCTCTTAGATAAGAATATATATATATATATAATGATAAAGAGAAGAAAATTAAGCCTTTTATACTTGAGAAACTCTGCTTAGATAGCTTTTAATACAATCAGGAGTTCAAGACCTCTCGAAAATTAACCAAGTTGACATTAATCTAAATTCTAATAAACGTTATATGTTCATTGCTGCTAAATAAAAGTTACTACTAAATAATATTTAGATCAACTATACATTTTACCTGATATGCACTTACACATGTAGATTGGCTCAATGATTGAGATCATTCATAAGTTTTAATAATAGTTTCTATTATGGAAAAAGTAAAGCTTTCGTTACTAATAATAGTATGTTGAATAGACCATAAGCATAATAATATGATGTGATATTGAGTAAATTAAATGTCTGATAAAGAAAAACAATTTTTCTTCAATATTTATCTCAGTAGTATCAATTACAATGAAATGATTAGTTTTATTGATTTTTGAATAGTATAGTATTGTTTTTCTTAGTGTGAGGTCGGAAAATGTAAAAATAAAAATTAATACAAAACTTATGAATTTAACAAGAGGTGATATTAACATAAGCATTCATTGGATTATTCAATCACTTCAATTTTGATTTCAATATAATAAATTCTTTAGAATCATTTTTTTAACAAGAAGCTATACATATATCACAAACCATCTCCATTCTCAGAACAAGATGAATTATCCAACTTCATTCAATAATTTTGCTACAACTAGTTAGAAAAATTGATTAATTAGATCAAAATATGGTAAATCAAAATCTCGTTTATTCAAAATAAATCACAATTGAAAAGTTATCAAGATTCATTGCAACTAAAGTCAACGCAATTCAATGAGTTATGAAATTTTTACTAAGGAAAAACGTTAGCAAAAGTGAAATTTTTTATTTCTGAGAAAACATCTCTTAAGAAATTGACTACAAGCAGCAATAATCACTCATACTATATTAATCAGTATTTTTTTCGCGTGTACTGACGCATTGCGATGCATGAAACCAGTAAAACTAGGTAGAACTTGTATTTTTTCACTTGCTGTTGAAGATTACAAACTAAAAATGTTGGACCGGTGGAATAATCATTTAATTCAGATTGAGTAAAATCTATCTGCAGAAAAATCTGAAATCATTTCAAATACGGAAATATTTTATTCATTCATTGATTGTTTAAAAATAAAACACCGACTTTACTAAAAATATATTCCATTCCAGTTGTTGCATATACTAAATTCACACCATTCATAGCCATCCAATCAATTTCTTTTCCCATCTTCATATTTAAAAAAAAATGAGAAATTTATACAAAAAAGAAATTTACCTAGAAAAATTTCAAAATACATCTGAATGACTAAATGTACATGGATTACCATACCAACGAAAAAAATCATTTACAACTATTCGAATCATTGCAGATAATGGAATTTATGATGATCAAGATAACCGAATACTCTTGCCTGACTAATAGACGATAGAAAATACCGAAATAAAATGAAAATAAAAATCTAATCATACATGAACTTTGTACAACATATTTGAACTCGTAATCAAATCCCAATGCCACAGCTACACCTGATGATGCTGAAATGAGTATCAAACTAGATGAAAAACCATTGGAAAGTCGAAAAACATCTTTATCATAAGTGTTAGATCAGTATTGATTTAGACCTTGAAAGAGCTGAGCGATTGTAACACCATTACATACACAAGAGATCAAATCTGTGATTGCTTTTATCAAGATAAATTTCTATTGAAAGTTAATGAACCTGTCAGTTGACTAGGATAAAGCTGTGAAAGACTATCGAGGGATAAGTTTGTTATTTTCAAATAAAACAATTTTACAAATTTTATCTCTATGATTTACTTAGTAATTGACAGATTGTGGATCATTGAATATCTGTCATGAATTATTCTAACAAGCAAACAAAAAATAACAATGTTATAAAATTTTATTTTTTTGTGTCATGCAGAAAGAAAAGCAACTTTTTTAATACTCGCTTCAATGTCATTTTCTAGATCATGGACAGATAGAGAAATATGAATGGAATAATATCACGTCAAAAGATAGATTGTATCATTATTTAAAGAGTAACGGATTAATTTACTGATAAATTGTTTTTACCGAACAATTTAAAATAAAATAAAACAGTAAAATTGAAAAAAATTTCACCAAAAATAAAACACTTTACTATGTCTAAATATAAATGCTAATAGTATTTTAATCACAATAGAAGTTATATCACGTTGCATATTCAAATAGTAATAAAAATTTATCCTTAACTATATCCAATAACTAGTAGAGAACTGAAAATGAAAAAAAAAACACAGATACATTATCATGAAGAAAAGGTTAAACTTGAAATGAACTTAGAAAAAATTTTTGTTCTTTTTTGTTTTAATTGAAATAATGTTTAAAAGAAAATTGCTGTGTTGAAGAACTTAGTGGTAAATCAATATCATTCAATGACGATCGATATTTATTGAATAATTCACGAGCAATCATAATTGAATCACCTAAAAATGGATAAACATTTATTTATAATAAAATTCATATAAGAAAATTTACCTTGTGCAATTGTAGGATAATATTTTGTATCTAACATAAAAAATGGCAATTCAGCTTCGAGAAATAAACGTTTACCCAAAAGATTTTGATCAACAGGATGACCCTGAATATACATCATTTTATTTAAAATGAAAATAAATAAAAAGAAATATATTATACTTCGACAAGACTTTTAAGTAAGACATCAAAGAAGACATACCATCGAGGAGCATAATAACTAGAAAGAAATAATAATATTTAAGTACGAGTTCACTGATTTGTTATTCTAAGCAATTTAATTGAGATACATTTTTTTAACTAAAGATTTTTAACAAATGGAATATTTTTTAAATAACACCATTTTTTGCATAAGAATGAGTGTTTCATAAGTTCCGAACCTCAACAAAAATTAAGTTATATGAGGTTCAAGTACTTAGAACGATGTTTTAAATGGCATATTATCGGATGACATTATCACTTTTAATATTAGGGATATAAATAGAAGAATCGTGATAATTAAGATCTCTAAATCGATCAGTATTTTTTTTTAAGAAGTTTTAATGAACTACGAATTCATCGTGGATGTGGATATGACTATCTTCTGTACTCACATTCTAATTATCACGTTTCGAATAATATACCATTTAAAAACATTTTTCCGAAGTATTCGAAACTTATATAGATATAGTTGGATAGGGATCACTCTTTATATATTATTTTTTCCTGAAATCAGAGAAATGAAATACTAATTGATGAATTCGATATAAAAATCAATATTTTTATCTTTGTAAGTAAATAAAAAAAAATTTCTATACATACTCTTGAATCATTCCAGACCAAAATTTACTTGCATAATCATATAATCCTAATGTATAATTATTTCCCCAAATCGATACTTGTAGTTTAGCATTGAAATTATAAAAATGAATTTCTTCTTCACTCATTGCAAATTGTAATGCATCACTAATCCAATTACCTAATAGAAATCGACGATCTGAAGCTAATATCATTTCCATATCAGCTAAAATATCAACAAGAATAGCTGCTTGAGTACTAAAAAAAATAGTTAAAATATTCGAAATAAACAATAATATATTATTATATCATTACAGACCCAACTCCATAGAGATCACTTTGATTGAAAGCAGCTATCAATTCAATATAATAAGTAGCAAATTTATATTGTAGTACTTCTTTAGTAATATCTACTAAATCGTATCGAAATAGATCTGAATCAAGTTCATTTGATGCAGCAACTAATAATTCCCAAGCCAAAAATAGAGATTTGAGATCGAAATTAATCTAATATATAAACCAATGTAAATTCTTTTCTAATATAGATATAAATAATACAAAGCGACTTACACCTTGACCTCGATTAAGTGCTGGTCTGTGTAACATTAATGAACTTGCACCATATGGATTTTTCTGATAAACTGAATTTCCTAATAATTGCCATGCATACAGTGCAGGACCAGGTATTTCATCATTACTTGCATATCGACGTAAGACAAAATTGACTAACCTAAATAATCAAATTTACATTTGAAAAATGATCTAAATTTGAATAGAATCACCATTCACTTAATCCACTATCATTCAATGGAGTACGCCATGATTGTTCAAGTGCAAATTCATATATAATTTCATTTTGATTTATACCTTCCATTGTAATACCAACACCAATCATAAATTGATCTGAATAATCACGAGCAGCTTGTGGTCCCTAAAATTAATATTCTGTATATTTCATAGTATAAACAAGTATAATTACATTGGTAACATTAACAAGAGAACCGAACAAAAAATTATTACCACCAAAATCATGTAACATATTCCATATATAAAAATGTCCATAGAATGATTCAAAACGTGAATATTGTGGTATAGCTTCAGAAAAGAGATCCAATAAAATGAGATGATCCTTAAATAAGAAAATATAACTTATATAATTCTATATAGAAGATAATTAAATTTTTCATACTTGAGGAACTTTGCTAAGATAACTTTTGACACGATCAGGTGTCCAAAAATCTTCAAGAAATAACCAAGCCTGCATCACCCTAAATTAGAAATGAAAAAAATATTTTTGTTTTGATGTTAGTAAACACTTACCAAATAGCACTAGGATCAACTGTTTGCATAGTTTGAAAAATGCCTGCATTAACATCAGCCAAATAATTGAGATCACTATGCAAGGTATTCAAATAAATAATAAACTTACAAAAATCAAACATACCTAATTGGTGGTGTCATCTCATTAAATAGATCACATGCATAGTAATGCGAAGTTATGTTGAGAGAAACAATTGTCTAAAATTAAAAAAGAAATGTAGTTTTCTCTCGTATCTAATTCATTAAAATTACAATATACATCAAAACTAAAATGTATTATGTTATTTAATGTCAGTTGCTATAATCCGAAAATAATAAGTCTCAGTGTCGTAGACAAATTTTCTGTATAAATTTAATATATACAATCAAAATTCTAAGTACAGATTTGTTAAAAACTGAGACTACTAGTATCACTGACTTAGATACTAAATTTTTATTAGTAATCGTATAGTACTTTAATTTTTCAAAAAAAACAATGAAAATCTACAAAGCAACGTACTTCATTCAATAGTGCAACACCAACTTGTTGGAAAAATGGATCAGTTGGATCAAGATATGGCAAACTAAGATGGAATGCGAACATTTGTTTTTTGTCAGTGTCATACACTATATGATCTCAGACTTACCAAGATTCATTACAACCAAAGCCATTCCAGTCTGCTGAATAATAAAATTTCGCTGTAGGATAATGTCTAGAGAAAATATTACAATGCATTATTTTTGTAATAACATAAGTACGAAAAAATAACAATAACTATGATATAATATTAATCAATGAAATCTTTCTCATCAGTATACGTGACTTGAAAAGAATCTTATACGATTATTATGACCAAGGATATAACTTTAAAAAATATAGCTATAGACCAATAAAAGTTGAATACTATAGCTATTACGAATAGCAACTCACTTCGGTGCACTACGAGGCATAAAGCCAGTAAAAGCAGGTAGAACTGGAATAATTCCAATATCAGTCATTCGTTGAATTATTTTTTTAGCAAGTTCAAATTGTGATTCATGCCATTTTCGTGACAATGGACCAGCATGCTTTTGAAGATTACCCATACGATGCCTTTGGTTAACATGCAAAAATCATTTTCTATTGTATCATAAAAAAACAAATCGCTCTATGTTTCTTACCAAGCTAAAAATGCTGGGCCTGTAAAATACTCATCTAATTCCGATTGAGTAAAACCCATTCGTAGAAAAACCTGAAATAGAATCAAACAAAAAACATCCATTCATTCATTTCCTTCTTCAAAAATAAAAGACTAACTTTACTAAAAATATATTCCATTCCAGTTGTTGCATACACTAAATTCACACCATTCATAGCCATCCAATCAATTTCTTTTTCCCATCTTCATATTCAAAAACAAATGGAAATACATACAAAATTCATAAAAAAAAAAGATTTACCTAGAAAAATTCCAAAATACAGCCGAATAACTAAATGTACATGGATTACCATACCAACGAAAAAAATCATTTGCAACTATTCGAATCGATGTAGTTAATGGAATTAATGATGATCGAGGTAGTCGAATATTCTTGCCTGACCAATAGACTACAGAAAATATCGAAATAATGAAATCAAATATAGGCAAAAATCTAATCATACATGAACTTTGTGCAACATATTTGAGATAATAATTGAATCCTAATGCTGCAGCTACACCTGATGATGCTGAAATGAGTATTGAACCAGGTGACGAACCATTGGAAAGTTGAAAAACATCTTTGTCATTGAATGCTAGATTAGGATTGATTGAAACTTGAAAGTGTTGAGCAACTGGAGCATCGTCAAGTACACGAGAGATCAAATCTGTTATTGCTTTTGTTGTAGATGAAGAAGCAACAGGTTTTGGCCATCGAATAGTTTTGCCAATTGCATAGGATTCTTTATAGAATAATTAAACAGAATGGTACGGACTTCTCCGTTTGAATTACAGAAATTTTAGTTTATCGAAAACATAGTTTACATTAAATCAAAGGTCTTTGGATGGTTCAACAATGAAAGTTTGACATTCATCATGAAATTAAATACAGCAACAATCAACTTTACTTTTACACTAAGTTTCGATCCCATTTTTTTGTATCTTGATCGTATTTAAAGGTGAATAGATATTGAATATATATATATTTAAAGTGTAGCACATAAGCCATCAATCCAGAAAAATTGGGCTTGTTTCACATTAACTCAAAGAAAATACTACATTGGAGAAAAGTATGGAAAAATTTTATCAAAGTTATTTTTTGTTTTGAATGTGGCCGAACGTTACGGAATTTTATTCTTTCATCTTTGGTGAGCCGTATCTCTGTGAAGATTCTGAAATTCTCCGTACACATGAATCTCAATTAGGTGTACCGTATACAGAAATTTTGGTTCAGCCAAAACAGAGTTACTCTCGAAATAGTGACCGTTATGGAACCTCAAAAAAAAACTAAAATTGTCGAGAATAACTCTACTTTGAATGGACTAAAATTTTGGTATACGGTACATCTAATTGAGAACCATGTATATGAAAAATTTCAGAGTCTTCACGGAGATACGTCTCATCAAAGATGAAAAAGTGAAATTCTCTAACGTTCAGCTACACCGAAAACTTAACATTGATGAAATTTTTTTTCATATTTTTCTCTAATGTAATATTTTCTTTTGAGTTAACACAAAATGAGCGTAACTTCTCTTAGATGATAGCTCAAGTGCTACACTTCAAATACATATATTAAGTATCCATCTATCTTTCAATACGGTCAAGATACAAAAGAAATGGGATTGAAACTTATGAAACATCCTTTATGGATACTGTTACTTGAGTAGAGTTCACAAAAATTCGATTTCTATTTACATATTACCTAGAAAATAAATTCAGAAGTTTTTCTTTTTTTTTCTAGCTATCTTTAATCTTTTACACTTAGCTAGATACTATCTCATTGCATCTAACTTCATCTATGCTCGCATACCTCAAAGTACGAAATTAAATACAACAACAATAATAATGTCACAAATATTGAATTTGATATAGTATCAGCATAAATCAAGAATATTTCTCATAAGATACGCAATAAAAATGTCACCAATATAATCCTGACCAAAGTCGAAATATCACAAATTAAGATTATTTAAATTTTCACTATTTTCTTTTCACTTTCAATGAATGATAATGCAAATATGATTTTTATAAGATTAAAATCAAATTCAAGCTTAAAGTACATTTCATGTAGAAACCAAAAAGAAGATATTTTAAATTTCAACCAATGAAACGATAAATTTTTCACAATAGTTTTAGCATCGTTTGAATTTTTCTTCAATAAAATGAAATCTTCTTTAAATGTATTGACTTACGATGTAATAAAATTAGGACAACCACATATTGCAATATAGAACGTAACATTATTATCTAGAGAACACAGGTTTAGTTTATTCTTAGGTTCTTTCTTTGTCTCTGCGAAGATATAGAATAAAGATAAAAAGAAACAAAGATCAACAAATAACAGAACAAACGCGAAAAAAAAAAGAAAATTCAACAGTCTGATAACTTATTTTCTAGATTAAGAAACTAAATGAACTGTTTGCTTGTTTGTTTATTTTTTGTTTGTTATTGTTGTTTTTGTTTTTGTGTTTTTATTAAGTTCGTACAGCATGAACAGTTTCTTCTTTATTAATTAAATGACATGTTTTATTAATAATTGTCATTAATGAATTAAGATTAACCGACCATTCATTAAGAGTTTCTTGTGGAGATTGTTTTTGTTGAAATGTAACAATATTTTGAAGACGATCAATTTTAGCATTGATAGTTTTATTTGAAACAAGATTTGATAAGAATTGTTCAGCTTCATCTCTAGTTAAATCAAGTAATTCAGCCATTTTTTGTGTTCGAACACGTGTATAATATTTAGCCATAATGCGCATATTCTATTCAATAAAAAAAAAAAAAAAAGGTAAAATAATAAAATTTTTCAAATTCAAATGATTTTTTTACATGTTCAACAACACGAATTTTAAAATCTTCCCAACGTTTATTTCCATCATCATTTTTAGCAAAAACATTTGTTGCTAAATCATCTTTTGTACCATTTTTAAGTTCATTTTCAAAATTTTTTAATACATCTTTCCAATGAATAAGTTCTTGAGTTTTAAAACGTTGTAATAATTCTCTATTTATTTCAACAACAATAGAAAATTTAAAAAGAAAAAGCAAAACAAAAAAAAAAAAAATATTTCTTTACTTGTATTTAGGAATTTCTTCAAGATTTTTATCAAGAAATAAACGATGTAAAAAATCCGATTGTTCATTATTATATGGTGATAATGTTAAATAGAGTATAACATGTTTTAATGCTTGTTTCATTTTTTCTGAATCTTCTTTTATACGTGGTGTATCATAATAATGTTTATAATGTTGACAAACATCAAAATAATTTTTATCATGTAAATCCATTTCAATCATTAATTCATAATATTTTAATTTTAAATCCTTTAGAAGAAAAAGAAAGATAATTATTAATTCAAACTTATTCATCCCGGTTCATTTTCAATTTTTTTCTACAGTAGTGATCGATAATTAGAAACTAAATAATAAATTATGTTTTCCAAGGATAAAATCTGTGAAAAGTCAAAAACTAAGTTTTTCAACTACTAGAATTTACAAATAAAATTCTACTTTAATTATACAGAATAATAGAGGAAACGATATTCTACAAAATGGAATGTCTTCCGGCGCTCTACGATCTTTTTTTGATCAAGATACATCAATTTTTTTTCTGCTATTTCGTATGGAAGAAGCATCATTTTTGTGCCTTCCGTAAGATTGATACAGCTCGGTCAAAAACATACCGTAGAGAGCTGAAAGACCTCTGATTTTGTAGAAAATAGTTTCATTTATCATTCTGCGGAATCCAAACAGAATTCTAATTTGTAAAATTTTGAAATTAAAAAGCTTCATCTTAGTTTGGCTTCTTATTGACGGTTATGGGTAGTAGAGAAAAAATTGAAAATAAGGTTGAATGAATAACTTTTGGAAGTCACTGTATCTCTTTAAAATACTAACAGTTCTAATTATTTTTATAACTATAGATTGTTAGAATGAGTGAAATCGAAAGTATTTTTATTTTAAATTATTATTTATTTATTTTTATCAATAAACTGAATATTGTTGATTAGCTGATTTTAACTTAGTTGAAAACTTACATGTGCACTTTCATCTTCAAATGCTTTAATATTGATTTTTTTCGATATAATCTGTGTTCGAATATAATCATTTTTAGCTAAACAAAGACGCATTTGTTCAAGTAAAAATTCAAGTTTTTCACGACGATCCATAGTTCCATAAGTTTCTACCTAAATAGTAGATAATCAAAGAAAAAAAACAACAACAAATGTTCTATTTAATAAAAATGAAATAATCAAAATTACTTGAAGTTCTTGTAAAATTTCTGCTGCTTCTTTTGTTTTACCTTGTCCTTCATAAATATCAGCCAATTTTTTTGTTAAACGAGCACGTTCATTTTCAACGAAGATCTCAAAAAAAAAAGCGATATTAAATTTCAAAATTATTGTCTTAAAGATAAAAAGGCATCTTTTTTTGTACCTTGCCTGTAGTAACATTTCGAAGTGTTTCAATTAATTTAAGTTTTGTATCTAAATCTGGTGTTTTTTCCACAAGTTCATATGCTTCTTGAACCATTTTTGTAATTGCTTGTTTTAATTGACTACGACGTTTTGATAATGTTATAATATGTTCATTCATTTGTTCCCATTGTCTTGCTGCATAACAATATTTAATAATAGCTACAAGAACACGTCCAGTAGAAATAGCATCAGCCGCCTAGAAAAATTTTTATAATAAGAAAAAAAAAAGAAAAACAAAGTTTTAATAGAATTCTATACAGTTCGAGTTTGTTTTTCAAGTGGTAATAAACGATCAAGAACTTCGTTCAATTTTGTTTCATCCTAAATTAAATTTCATAATTATGCAAGAATAACTTTCATAATTTTATTTACTTTCATTAATTCATCACATTCCTTAAGTTTTTGATCAACTACAGATGAATAGTCGATTTCCATTTTAACAAGTCTATCACTATCACCCATGATGAATTTTATTTGTACCTGGAAATCTACAAAAGAAAGATGTTAATTGTTAACAAAACCACAATGAAATTATTTTGAATTAGTAAGTTCACGTATGAAGTGAAGTTTAAAAAAAAAAAGAAAATATTCGATTGGAGAACATGTTTGCCAGTGTAATATGAAGAAATTGAATAATAATAAAAAATAAAAAAGAGCCATCTATAAACAGAATGCACAGTAGACATGACTCCCTTAGCAACGGAACCAATGAAAAAAGTTAACATATTTTTTAATTATGTTACAAATGTTCGAAATTAAATTTTTTTTCTATGCGTTTGCCTTTCTTTTGCAATGGATTTAGAAACAAGAAATTTAAACGTAAGAAAAATATCTATATTGACAGACACGTTTCGTAATAGATGTAGATAGTGACATTAGTTAAATTATTTACTATTGGTTTCATCAAAGTAATGTAATGAAAACGTTTGTTTTTTTCTTATGTATAATCATAAATAATATTTACTTATCTTGAATCAAAGCTGTCTGACCAAAGTAGAATATATAATTATTGAGTTTCACCGAGAATAATTCTATTTAATTAAAAAAGTTGTTTTCAATAAAGTAATATCATCCAATAGAGTAGAGCAGATGTTTCTTCTAGAAGTTTTTCCTATTCTATTTAAGTAGGTTTAGAATCGTATGCAATTATTACAAAGAGTAAAGCTGTTAGATATATGACTTCATCATGTGTTAATAATAGATTCGAAACGTTTTAGAATATTGTGTTTTTGCTACATCAAATGCGTTGAAGCGACATTTGTGCTTCGAATGATAAAAAAAAATTGGCAAAAGTGACAGCAAGAAATTATCATTTAAATGATTATTTTTTGTATATTCATCTAATAAATTTTATAAATACATTTCAATGATGTCATGCATTTGACGTTATTTCTGAATAATGAAATGGATTATTTTAAGTTAACTTGGTGAACATATTTTGAGTATTTAATTTGTACTATTCGGAATTTGACTTTCTCTTTGTTCCACAAACCAAGACGGCTCTGGTCTTTAATATTTCTTAAGATGTAAGCAGGGTGCAAGAAAATTTTTTGAGATCTGAAAAGGTACAGATACAATTCTTAAAAATATGGGAGGTGCTGATCTTTTTTTTTAATAAAAGAAACTCAATTTTGATAGAAAAAAACTGAAAATTTTCTAAAAATGGACGATGTCAACCTTTCTTTCTCATGGGCACATCCCTGGATGTAAAAAACAAATACAACTTGAAATAATAATGAAATGCTTGACGTCCAAAGAAATTTAGCTCATTAACTATTTGTCAATACACATGGCCTGTAGATATACATTATGTTTTCCATCAATCAAACATCATATAGATTATTGTTGATATTATATCATGCAGCATTTTTTGTTAGTTTTCATCAAGTCTATCATAATGTTAAAACAAATAATGTGCATTTGCTGTCATCAGATAAAGATCATAAACAAGAATATTGTTCTCTCCCATAAATAATGAAAGCTGTAATAAACTAGCGAACTATTTATACTTCGTATAATGAATACGTACATAGTTAATTGACAATGAAATTTGTTCAACTTTCTTTTATTCTTGTTGCAATAATTGTCGAAGGCAATGGGTCCCTAATTAAAAAAAAAATTATTGGATCAACTTCTGCTGACAATCGTTTCCTTGCAAATGTCAAAATCTATTCAAATCTTGCTGAAATCATTCAACCACTTCTCGTATTACCAATTGAATTCTCATCTAAAGATTGAAGTGATATTCGTTCTGATTCAATAACACTTGTCGGCATTGATGTCAATATACTACAACAATGAATTACTGAAAAGAAAAAAAATCACTTAACAATGTTCAAGTTTATGTTCGTTCACCATCATCATCAAATACTGAAACAAAATTTATTAAAGCAATAATGATTGATGAAAAAAAGAAATTTAGTTAAACTTATTGATAAAGATATTGGTACAGAACCGATCTCTCATATTGCTTATAATATTGAAACATCTTAACCCTTTGGGGACGGTTGGCCCCTTAAGGGGCCATGGTGATTCTCTAGCATTTCAAAACACACAGATTTCTATATGAGATTAGTTTTCGTGAAAGCATTTATCAGAGAGTTTTTTGGTATAATTTGGATTGTAATTAGGTTATTTTATTCAGATATCCAGTAATGAATAATAAGTTCTTTTAGAATATAGAAATGTTGATTGATTTATGATGAAATATACAGAAAAAAAAACCCGTCCCCAAAGGGTTAAACAAAATATCATGTTAATTTTATATATATGATACAACTGGTCCAGTTGAATTAAGTTATTTTCGTTCAAACTTAACTGGAAAACTCGTTATCAATTGAATTTATTAGAGAATTCAAAACCTGCAATTCTTATTGCTATGGCTGTTACTCGAAATGATGGATAATCGAAAGTTAATCTTGAATCTGTAGAACTTTTAGGTGGTGATATTAACTTACAAATGTACCAAAAGCCGTCTTTTATGTCAGTAAGTTATCCCAGGATCGAGGCTATGAACTCAAGTTTGACACCATCTTCGGTCGGCCTACCACTCAAATCAATGATCGAACAACGAGAAGCATTCGGTTTATATGTATTTTCTATCAATCAATCATTTTCAATTAATGCTAGAACAAATTATCTTTCAGTAATATTCCGTCCATGAGTAACTGTGGAACGATATGCTTCAATTTTAAAATATTTCTATGGTGCTGAAAATGTAAATGGTAAAACCGAACGTTCATATCGTTTTTCATCTGATCGTCTTATTGGTGAGATATCTTTACCAGATATAGCCGCTAAAAATAAATATGAACTTTAAATTGGTCAAGATACTGATATAGCTTACAAAGAAATTGCAACATTGATCTCTTCATTTAGTTGGAATGTAATAACAATTAAAATTGACCATCAATTACATTTCCATGGCGATTCAATCAAATTGCTTACATTGAATGCAAATATGACACTTGAAAATTCAATACTTAAATATTCAACAATAATAACAGTAAATGATAAAAAAAAAATCATTAATTTGACAAAGTATCCATTCTTATCGATATCCTTTTTTTTTCATTTACTATAGATTTTGATTTGTAATTGATTAAGTAGATTGTTTAAAATAACATAGATACAAAAAAAAAGCTTATTAGTAATAAAATGCAATATTTTAATATCTCATTGTCGTATAATTAATATACTTCAAATAATTATTTAGCTTAAAATTCACAATGATAGAAACAAGAAAAGAGCAAAACAAGATGCCATTTTATTTTATCAAACATTCATTTTGAAATAATATATCTCGAAGGATATATTGCATGCTATTAAATCTTTTGATTGATCATGGTTACGATATAGTGCTCAGATATGAAAACTAATCTAAATGATAAATATTCATATTTACTTCTATCAAGATAAGTGAATTTTCATTCAAAAACTTTATCATCCAAAAAATTGTTCTGCATAAGAATAAAAATCGTGACTCTTTCTTCGGTAATACTGTGGTCAAAAATAGCATAGTTAATTCTAATAATACTTGTATCTAAATAGAAAATATCTTATGTAATGTATAGAGAATGGAAAAAAACCAATTTCTGTATTCAATAACTAATAATCAAATATGTTATTTTTTTTCTAAGAATGAAGATTCTTTGATGAAATACGTAATAAACTAATCTATTACTTTGTAGTTTCTGTGAAATGTCTACTAAGGATTATAAATTATTACGTACAGAAGAAAAAAAAATTGATTGCTTTATAAAAAAAAAAAAACTACTACAGAAGACGATTCTTAACTTCGAAGAATATCTATGAAAAATTAGTAACATTTACTCTCTAGGGTGGGAATATTTTCTTGACGATAATATGGGTATTTTAACATAATAAATGAAGTGTTGAAATTATCTGAAAGAAAATATTCTTCACAAATAGATTTGCAATAATGATGTCTTCATCAAATATAAGCATTGCCAGCTGTTATATCAACACCATACATACATCGTCCAGATTTTTTTTTTCTTCTGCCGAAGTCATCGCGATGATAAAAGTAATATATCATTTGCTTTTATCAAAAGAAAAGGGTAAATTCCCACACATTTCTCTCCCTTTTTTTCTCCCTCTCGCTCTCTCTCTCTCTCTCTCTCTCTCTCTCTCTCTCTCGCTCGCTCGCTCTTATAAATGATTACATCGTGCAGTGTTCTATAGCCATTAGATAGCATATCGAGCCACGACTTATTTGAAGATGAAATCTTTCTTACTTCTATATCTAGTAGCCATACATACTCTAAGTATTAATGGTCTCTTAGATTTTAAAAAGAAAACTCAAGTAACAACTACTGACCATCGTGTCCTTGCTAATGTCAAAATCTATTCAAATCTTGCTGAAGTCATTCAACCACTTGGCTTATTACCAATCGAATTTTCATCTGAAGATTGGAATGATATTCGTTCGGATTCAATAACACTTGTTGGTACTGATGTCAATGTAACACAACAATCAATTACTGAAAAGAAAAAATCACTTAACAATGCTCAAGTTTATGTTCGTTCACCATCATCATCAAATACTGAAACAAAATTTATTAAAGCAACAATGATTGATGAAAAAAGAAATTTAGTTAAACTTATTGATAAAGATGTTAGTAAAGAACCAATCTTTTTTACTGCTCAATCAGACCATATTCTTTATGATGCTGACCCACCTCAAACAAAATATTATGTTAATTTTACATATGATACAAATAGTCCAGTTGAATTAAGTTATCTTCGTTCAAATCTTAACTGGAAAACTCGTTATCAATTGAATTTATTTGAGAATTCAAAACCTGCAACTCTTAGTGCTATGGCTGATATTCGAAATGATGGACAATCAAGAGTTGATATTGAATCTGCAGAACTTTTAGGTGGTGATATTAACTTACAGATGTATCAAAGATCGCAATATATGCCAATGAGCGCTGCCAAGGGCTATGCTGCGTACGAAGCAGACAATGCAGGTGCTCCCGGTCCACCACCCAAACCATCGGTTGGAGAAGGAGAAGAAATATCCGGTTTATATGTATTTTCTATTAATCAACCATTTTCAATTGATGCTAGAACAAATTATCTTTTACCAATGTTTCGTCCACGTGTAACTGTAGAACGATATGCTTCAATTTCAAAATACTTCTATGGTGCTGGAAATGTAAATGGTAAAGCCGAACGTTCATATCGTCTTTCAGCTGATCGTTTTCTTTCACGTGGTAATTGTGTTATACGTGAATCTGATCGTCTTGTTGGTGAAACATCCTTACCAGATATAGCTGCTAAAAATAAACATGAATTTTCAATTGGTCAAGATGCTGATATAGTTTACAAAGAAAATTCAACATTAGTTTCTTCAACTACGTCTAATGTAACATCTTCACCTTATGGTCCAAAACAATCACGAACACATTCAACTTATGAGGTTGTTTTGACATTGAAAAATTACAAGAAGAATCGTTCAGTTAAAGTTGAGTATCAACAGAACGTCTATGGTCAATCAGTAAAATTAACAAAACCTAATGCATTGTTTACACAAGAAGGTTCGGCAATCAAAGCTACATTTACATTAGCATCTGATGAAGAGAAATCAGCTTCATATAAGTTTGAAGTAGTCAACTAACTTAAAGAACATTTAGTGTTTTTAATACTTTATTACATTTTAAATAATGAATACTTTTATTCAATAAACTAGAATACTAGAGGCTTAGATGCAAATATATCTCATTAGAAGTGAAATATCAGCTTGAACAGTTCCTTGAAATGTGTTAGATAGTTATATAAAACAATATTGAAATATTAATCTGATCTTGTATGGCATTCGCAGTAAATTTTTTCATGAAAATACAGCATACAATATGACGTCATACTAGATTTGTTTTTCTATCTTATATAATGGATGATTTAGTAAAACGGTAGCTTTATATATTGATGTTTTTGTTTATCTGAATTACTGGAAAATGTAATGAATAGATCAATCTTTTATAACAAGTGTAGAGAAAGAAAAAAGATTATTCTTTATGATGATATGATAATTGTGATTTTCAAGAAAGTGATTAAAGTTATTCTCTATGAAATATTGATGATAAGCTTCTTACGATGTTTGATTGAATAAAATACAATGTAAAACGTCAATTTAGGTTTTATCTTACTAAAGAACAGAGGATATGAAAAATCAAGTTGAAACATTTCTTACTTTTATAAATCATCAGTATATAAATACAGTAGTGGACAAAAGTTTCCATCCTAGGCGATCTCAGGCACTGTACGTGCTGAAAATTTGTGTACACACATTTCATCAAGATTATAAATTATTTGCATTGCGATGCTGTTATTACTGAATTACAAAGAGAATTATGATTAAATACCATCTATTTTTGTTGTCAGCCGGTTCCTCAATATGTAATGCTATGTCCCACCTATCTACATTGCTAATTTCATACAGGTCTATCAATCCTTTCAAAAATTATACTCATTTTACTATTATCATTGTTGTGGAGAGAAATAACCTATTGCTCTTTAGAGGTCAATAACTCATCAATAGTTCAATGGTATGAATTCAAACGTTTCAAGAAGTTTCCTCTTTAGTTAGGCATTATTACCTACAAGTTTCAGAGACAAATCTTACACTAGAAAGAAATGAAACATATATGATAATCTTGGTTTGTTTCAGCGATTCAGAAACATTAATATTTGGACAAATGAATTTATATTATAAACGAAAAAAATCGTAGATGGGACTTCATCTATATGTAAAAATATCAAGAATTAGTCATATTTTTAATAAGAAACAGCACAAAATTTTGTAGGGAGTCTTGTTTTTAAGTTATAATATTTATAGCAAAAAATAGATGTCATCCATCATAACTCTCTTTGTTACAAAGCAATAACGATGTCGGAATGTCAATGACCTACATTCTTAATGAAATACATATACACAAATTTTCAGATTATCAGTACATACAAGGGTCAAGATCGGCTGGAGCAGAGACTTTTGTCTACTACTGTACATTATCAATGTCAATATAGTTTTACACAAATACCGAAACTCATATATTTTTCTATGTTATTTTTTTTTAATAATATCAACCATATGCCAAAATCGATATATATTTATCTTTAATCATAACCATATCATTATTATTTATATAAGATATATAAATTAGGATTGATCTCTTGTCTGTTTCTTGTGTATAGTTTTTTTTTTAAATGTTTTTTGGCTTGTCGAAGTCAAAAAGAAAAATTAACAGAAAGACACATAAATGACAACAGAAAAAAAAACCAAAGAGTATCATCAACACATAAGCGACATCAAAAATGTGCAATGACAAAGAAAGGACATCGTCGATTAAATACATAGGTCTCTATTACAACACAAAAGAAGAAGAAGAAAAAAGAAAAAAAAAAGGACATCATGATCAGAAAAAAAACAAACAAACAAATACCGGGGACTTGACGAGATAGATAAAACACGACGAGAGAAATAATAAATAAAGTTGAGTGGATTTTTTTTTTTGTTAGTTCCCTATCACATAATTTAATGTATTCCTCTTTTGTTCGAGGCACAATCTAAATTTATACACTTTCTTATTTATATGTACATTCTCTCAATATATAGTCCCATTTTTCTTAACTTGTAATATTAATTCCATTTTCAAGCGCATTAGTCCTTTTCAGATGCTCATTGTTATTATTATTATTATTATTATTATTATTAGTAGTAGTAGTAGTACTGTTCATTGATGTCGATATATTAGATTCTACATCCATTATATCATTTGATGATGATGGTGGTGGTACTAGTGGTGGCGAAGTTGTTTCATCTATATCATATAAATTAGTTGTTGTTTTTAATTTATTTGTAGTAGCGACATTTTGTGTAGTCCTATTTGATGAATGTGGTCGTTTCTGTGGTAATTTATTATTATTGTTTGTCGTTGTCGTAACAATCGACGATGAATCTGTATGAATAGTTCCATTTGGTGTATTTAGAGATTTATTTGTTGATTGACAAAGAGTTTTTAAACGAGCATTTTCTTCACTTAATGAAATTATTTGTTGATGAGAATCAGTTAATTGTTGACGCATATGAAGTAATGTACTTGACATAGCATCCATATTTGTATCCATATCTAACATAATATCTTCATAATCTATTTAAAAATAAATAATATAGAAATTATATTAAATTTTTTTTACAAATATTTTATTTACCTTTTTGTGTATCTTTTATATTTGATAAAAGTTGATTCTGTAAAGCTATTTCACCTTCAAGTTTAGCAACATTATCTGATGAAACTATTTTTCCTAATTGTTCATTTTCTTCAAGTAATTTTTTACATCGAGCCATGAGCATTTTACCAGTTTTACTAATAAAAAATAAAATAAAATAAAAAGACGAAAGTTAAATGAATCATTTATCAAAGAGATATGTACCTATCGGGTGTAAATTGCCATGAATGTAATTCATTTTGTGCTTCATCACGAGCTTTACGACTTTGTTCAATTTCATCACGCATTTGTCCATATATAAGATTAATTGATGGATCTAAATATGTTTGTCTAAGACGACTTAATGATGGTGTTTGCATCATATCACGCATTTGATCCTTTGAAATAATAGAAAACAAAAAAAAACCCAGTATAAATATGTATTTATCCTTATATTCTGTATTTTTTTTTTCTATCATACCAATGCTTGTTGTTGTGTTGTTTTAGTTAACAATCGATAATTAAGCATAGATTTTAATTTTTTACATTCAGCTTCTTTTTCACGTAAACGTTCATTCGATTCAATAGATTGTTGTAATTGATGTAAACGTGATTCTAAATAATCAATATATGAATCTTGTTCTTTCCAACGTTCTAATAGACGTGATCGTGGTGCTTTATCAATCCAATCGTCAGTTTCAAGTCGAACACGTTTTGGTGGATTTGTTGATGATGTTATGGTATTGGAATTACTTAGATTATTAGTTATGTCCATTAGAGATAAACGACGAACATCGATCGAGATCGATTTATATTCGACGATTAAAACGATGTATTATCAATAATCAAGTTCGTGGGAATAAAAAATTATACTAATGATAAAAATACACACAAGAAATGTTTATTAAAAAAACAAAAACAAAACAAAGATTTACAGAATCAATGGAGAAATAATGATAGAGTATGGCAAATCAGTTCTACCAAAAGCATTCAAATTTATCTATAAACCAACAAAAACAAAAAAACAAACGAAGGAATTAGAACTTGTATTTTTTGTTCTTACTTTTTGTTTGTTTTTTTTTTTCTTTTGAACGTTGCCATTGTTGATGTTAATGAAAAGACAAATGAAATTTTTTTTTTGTCAGAAACTATAGAAGTTGTTTAAAAATCGATTTATTCATGGCAGTAAAATAAAACTAAAGTTTTTGTTCAAAGTTTTTTAATAAAGTATAAAAGATGTCACTAACAAACACCCTATTGTATTGGAAACATATTTCTCCAATGGAAAATACGAATTTTTCTTTTCTCAAAGAAATTTTGACAGACAAAGAAAAATATATACGGAATTTTCTGTTTTATGGTGTATGTAAGCAATATTTAAATATGTTGTTTTTCTATGTAGATCAATTAGAGAAAGGATATACATTTTAGACGGAATATTCCAGTTCGAACAAGTATTACTCTATCGTATAAAACTTTGAAATATTTCATGAAATATTCAGCAATATAATCAATAAATATGTTAATTTAGATTGAAATGAATTACAAAAATTGGTAATATACCATACGTAGTTTTTTCTTTAGATTATACACATTGACCGACGCAGTACTATGTGAGGATGAAGGATATATGTGTGTAATCGGAAGATGTAGCCAACATTATAGTATGAAAAAAAAAATTTCTTTTTATGGCTTTCATTGTGTCTTTAGGATATGTTTCGCATGAGCGAAAACAATTTTTTTCCATGCAATAAAAATGTACCATATTTCTCGATATATGTTCTAATATATACCCACTACAGAATTAAACAGAGATGGATATAAGCTCAATAACTCGACAATGACAATAGTTAGCGACCTACGGTTTTCAGCAATTCAAAGAAGAGATCGCTAGAAATCTTTTTAGTTGATACTTTATAAAGCAAAGTTATTTTAAAATCCATCATCTTCGCAAAACATGCATGAAAATGGTGTTCTATTCTCATGTAGTTTTGATTTTAACATGTTCTGTAGATAGAGGAACTTCAGATCTATAGTTCAAGACACGATTCAAGTGATTATCTTCTCATATCTGAGTGTTAGGTAAACAAATTTGCATATCGATTTGGTTAAATTATATAGAATAGAATTCTGTTGCTTTTTAGCAAATTTTATCGAAACTTTCTTGACATGAAACACCATTTTCATGTATGTTTTGCGAAGATGATGAGTTTTTAAATAATTTTGTCTTATATAGTTTTGGACAAAAAGATGTCCAGAGTTCTCTTCTTCTGATTGCTGAAAACTGTAGATCACTAGCTATTGCAGCAGTTGAGTTATTGAGACTACAGTCACTTCCATTTAATTCTAGCACGGATATTAATTAGAAGAACATTTCTGTTATGGAGATGAACAGCTACTTGGAATATTGCTACGTCATCACAATGAAATCTTTATTGCAGAAACAGTGACGAATCTAAAATTTCGGAAAAAAAGGGAGGAGAAGTCGATCATGGTCATAAAACGTTTTTTGAAGTCCATTATAAGTAGTCTCGACTCATTGTTGAGTGTTTTCAGTTGAGAAAAATCAAAAGCGAGAGGCGATCGTCATCAATGCCCCTGTCTAAATATACCATTGTACAAAAATACTCAATCTTTGTTGTATTCATTATGAAATAATCGAGTAAAATTTGGATCGATACCGGTTTCTTCATGAGAATTTTTCCATCTGTCAAAACTTATCGATGTCATTAGATCTTAATTAAGGCGCCTAATTAAAGCACATTCTTTTAGAGACGGATAATGACTAAATATGCAGTATTATTAATTATGAATTGTTTTTTTTTTCTCACTTCACAATTCGCTTTTCTATTGTAAATCAAACATCATTCTAGAAATAAAACCAACCATACATAGAACAAGAAATAACAACCTTGTATTTGACATTCTTTTTTTTTAATAAGAAGTATCTGAAAAAAAGACAGTATTTAAGACTTAAATGGTTTCATAAAAAGTAATTATCTCGGACAATTATTCTAATGGTGGTGCTTTATGAGCTGAAAACTACTTCTTATTAATGGAATAATTAAAAATAAGAATTATTTATTATCATGTTTTTTTTTTTGTATCAGATAGATTGCTCTATATATAATTTGGCTAAGTTTTATAATAAAATTGATAATTTGACATTATGAACAGATAAAATTATCTTTTATTTATTTTTTCCGCTGGAAAATTAAACATGCAATCCTATTTGATAATTATTCTGGTAATAAAATTATAACAAGAAAATGACTGTCTTTATATATCTAGTGACAGCAAGTATGATTAATTACATCTTTGTCACCCAAGATGACATACGTGCTAAAAAGAAAAAAAGAAAAAAAGAAAAAGAACATACTTTATTTTAATGAATTTTTACTATTCATTATATTCTCTTTTTTCTTTTAAGATTTAATTAAAAGTTCATAAACAAGACTATCTTTACATTCCTATTTAAGTATACCGCCTCCGTCTTTTTTTGCCATTCCTCGTTGCCGTAGAGGATACAACAGATACGCATGAAATTTTTACTACAGATATGAAATAAAGAGATAGGTATTCGAGGACAAAACTTTTAAACAAAGTTTTCAGAAAAACTCTGATTTTCCATAGGGTCACATCTAGCCTCCATCAAACTTTGTCCGATCGAATTGAAATTTGGACGATAGATAGTTGGAAGTGCTCTCCAGACGTTTTCGTTTTTGACCTTCCCATCCGAATTTATAAAACCTTGAATGCTAGCATCCCGATTTTGGATCCAAACCTTTAGGAATTTCTCTCATAAAGAAAAAAAGACAATCAGATTTTTGAAAAAGTTTAAAATCATCTCTGAGATTGCGAAAGCGTTGTTTAAAATTTTTTTCTTCGAACACACCTGTCTCCTTATTTTACGTGGTCTATCTATAATAAAAATTTCATGTGGATCGATTTTATTCTCTTCAAGAATCAGAAATGATAAAAAACAGCGGAATACTTTTTATAATAGTTCTGTTATATTTTCAAATTGTTTTTTTTTGTCTCACATTTTCATTGTAGATATTATTAAAATGCATTCATCATCATCAACCTCATTGAAACTTGGTGGTAGTGGTCCATCTGAACCATTAACTCGTCTTGCATGTATTCGTCAATGTCAAGAAACAGTTCAAGAATTAGTTAGTAAACCAACAGAAATCTGTTTATGGCTTAATCAATTAACACGTCCAGTAACACATATTCCAAATCTTCAACAACATCAAGCACAAAATTTAGCTGAAAAACGTACACGTTTTGAATCATTATTAAATGAAATAACAACACAATTAAATTCTTTAAGACATTTATTTGTACGTCTACGTGAAATTCATGAATATGTTTTAACACGTGAATCAACAGCAACAACAACAACAAATAGTCCTGAATTATCACGTTTATTAAAACAAAAATCAATCTATGAAGAAATTCTTAATGAAAAACAAAAGCAATTAAAAATTATTATTGATACAATACGTGATATAACTTATCAAATAAATACAATGATTGATTTACGTCATGATGGAACAAACAATACATTGATGAACAATGCTAATACACAAGAAAAATGATTTTTTTTTTTTTGTTCTTTCTTTTTATTATTCTTTATTGCACTAATAAAAAAAAAACAAAATTAACTAACGGACTAGATCATAAGTTTTTAATTCTGAAAAACATTCAGTAAAAAATTTCGGATTTTGATTAATTGCTAACATTTTTGAACTTAATTGTCCCATTAATAAAACTACACGTTGCCAAAAAGCTTCACGTGTTTCATCATCAGTGACAAAAGGTTTTAATGGATATGTTATTTCATTTCCCATATAACTAAATGCTAAATACAGACATGTTAATATAATAGCATGTAATTCAGTAACACTTTTAATTGTTGTTGATGGTACAATATATGTTAATGTTTCACGTACAAGTAAATAAACAAAAACAACATTAGCTGGATTGACAAATACTTGTTCTTGCCAACCTTGTAATATTAATTGACGATCAGCACTTTTTATCCATAAAATGCAATCAGTTGGATCAAGTATTGGTAATAAATGTGAACAACATGAACATAAATATTCACCTAAACATCGTAATAATTCATTTGTTGATGCTTGAATTATTGTTTTATGTGTTGTAGTTTTTTCTATTGTACGAATATTTTTTGTACTTGATGATAGACTATTATTGATTTTTGTATAGGAAGACAATTGAGTTCGATGATTTTGATTATAATATTGTGATTGAGATTTTGGTAAATGATATGATAGTGGAATAAATGCGGAATAACGTTTATTTACTAATGTATTTGAAACTAAAGTAAGAGAGAAAAAGATATAAAATATACATAAACCGGAATTCCTGACTTCGATAATAAGTGTTGAGTTCGGGCATTTTTAATTGTTCCCTTCAACTCATGAGAATTCTCGGATGCATTTGTAACGAAGGAACAATCCACTCTTTTTTATTACTGATTACGTTATTCAATATGTATTATATAATATATCTATTCATACTTGGTTACCTCTCACCAAATCAAATAGATATTTGAATTCCAAATCACTCTAGGGAAAGTTATTTATAAGCACGACATATGTCGATTCTTGTCCTTTTTTGTTTTTTTTGAAATTACTGAAAAGTATTCTCAAGGAAATTAGAAATGGAAAATGAGAGATTTTTCTTTTTGATAATTTTCAAAAGTTACAATGTCTGTATTCTTATAAATAAATTTATTTGCCGTGC